AGCCACCAAAAAATAAGCCACAGCCATAAGAAACAACCACTACGACATGACGACTGAAGCAGGGTTATTATAGTAATGAAAAGTAAAATTAAAACCAAAGAAATAAAATAAATTAAATATAAAAAACTTTAACTTTTTGTTTTGTATTTCAGCTAGTTGCCAAAAGTTAATAACAGTAAATAATTGTAACCAAAGTTAAAAGCATTATAATACTCACAGATTCCTTGTTACATCAAAAATAGTTTTTTTGTCATGTGTTTTAATCATTATTTTAATGCAAATTATTATAATATATAATCAAGAATTTAGCTTAACTTAATGTACTAAAATTAATCAAATTAATTTAATAAAAAATATATAGACATATTTTAACAACAAAAAACTCATAAAAATGACAAAAACACAACAAGACTTGTTCAATAACAATTTATTTAATTAATAATAATGATATGCATTATGTAATACTTTATATAGTACTATTATTATATATTTTTGATAGCATAAGAATAGTTAAAACACAGAAAGTAATAAAAATGGCGAAAACACAACAAAATGAATAAAACTTGGACTTGAAATTAAAATGGAAAAATATAAAAATGAACTCATTCAAAATATTAATAACAGCTATAATAGTATTTCAATGATTCTAAAATAACACATGGATGACAATTAATGTAATGAAGCACCCGAAGCCTTCATATTGTTTTTTTTTTTTTATTTAGTCCAGGCTTAAACTTTCTGAATAAACTAAAAGTGAAATGTTCAAGGTTTTAAGAATTAAATTTCCATACACATATTCATTATCAGTGCATACTGCACACAAGTTTGGAATACTTCAGATTTTTTTTTTTTAATGTTGTTGAAAAAAAGTCTCTTCTGCTCATCAAGGCTGCATTTAAAAATACAGTAAAACAGTACAATTTTGTAATATTATTAAAAAAATAAAATAACACTTCTTTTTGAAAATATTTAAAAACGTAATTTATTTCTGTGATGCAAAGCTGAATTTTCAGCATCATTACTCAAGTCTTCAGTGTCACAGGAATGAATAGACAGTTTAAAATAACAGCATTTATTTGAGAGAGAGAAAAAAAACTTTTAACATTATAAATGTCTTAATAAAAGCGTTATCACCAAATCATTCATAGGTGTGTTGGATAAAACTTGCATCATCACAGAAGTTAAATAATTGTAACCAAACTTCAAATGAATTATAATATTCACACAATCTAAAATTGGTTGTTTGTCATGCGTTTTAATGCATTATACTTTCTAAAGGTGTAACGACAAATATATAAGTATTATAGCTGTGGTTACACTTATTCATGAGGTCATACCATGCATTATAGGCTGCATTAGAAATATGTTTATAATGCATTATTGAACGTGCTCTATAATGTGTTATTGAAAGCACAGACATTCTGCTCTTAAATTAACAATAATACAAATTCTACGGGATAAACAAAAACACATCAATCTACATTACAAAAATCTATACCATTATGTCTAAGTAGTAAACCATGAAATCAGTAAAAAAAAATGACACTGGTAATAACATTTTGTAATTTTGTTTTTGACTTGAAAGAATGTTTCTAATTATATGCTGAAATGCTTTATATATTGTATGTTTATTGCTGTTGATTTAAAAAAAAAGTGTTTTGTCAGTGAAAAATTACATTAATATAATTTTTTTTACAAATTTAAGGTTTGTACAACGATTTATGTAATAATATTAATTATAACAATTATTAATAACTATTAATAATAGATATTTGTTATATTATACTTTATATAATAATATGATATATTATTGATATTATTTTTAATAATGGTAATTTTAATTATTAAATCAATAAAAAAAACGTTAGTAATAAAATTCTGTAATTTTGTTTTTTTTACGTGAAAGAATGTTGCTAACATAGTTATTTTATTAGTGCACGAAAATGTCCCTTCACCAGTGTTATTTTAGGATAATTAAGACAGTATTATAAATTTATATTAATATTTTGAGTCAGTTTTAATTTATTTTTTGTCATATAATTTCAGTTTTCATTTTAAGTTAAAGTTTTAGTAATTTAGTTGCCATTTTTATTAGGTTTTTGTTTTTTTATGTCTATAGTTTTGATGAATTTTTATTTCTGTTTCAGTTTATTTTAGCATAAAAAATCAACTTAAAATAAAACTTTTCCTCTGGCTGTAGTTCTGTGAGGTCATCAGGAAACATGCTCCAAGGTTTGTTCAAAAACAATTATACAACAATAATAATAATAATAATAAATATAAATTTTATACTTCATATATTATAATATAATATTGATATTATTAATAATAATAGTAATTGCTGTGAATTGTTTACATGTTATTATATTTGTATACATTGTAAATTTATATAGTTTTTTACTGCTGATTTATATAATATTATTAATAATCGATATTCATTATATTATGCTTTACTTAATATTATTATATATACATTTTGATATCACTATTAATAATAGTAATTATGGTAAATTGTTTACACATTGTATTTGTATAAATATGTATATTTATACTGTATTTGTCTTTTAACTGTTGTTTTAATAATTGTACTGCATTGAAAATTTACTTTAAAATGAAAAATTAAATAAATGACAATAGATATTAATTTTAGTATACTTAATTAAAAACTTGTATATATTGTGGATATTCTTAATAATAGCAATTACTGTAAATTATTTATACATTATTGTATTGCTATTTATATTGTATTGGCATTTATATTTGTATTGTATGTTTTTTTTACTGCTAATTTAAATAAAAAAATATTGTAATGCAGTGAAAAAATACTTCAAAATTCAAGGTTTGTACAATAACAATTTATATAATAATAATAATAATAATAATAGATATTAGTTATATTATACTGTATAAATAATAATAATTATTATTATTAAGTGTTTTTTTGCTGATAGAATGTTTTTATTTGAATGTTTGAGCTTAATTTTCCTGAAAATGCAAAAAATGGATTTGATTTAAACTTAAGCTTAATTTTCTTGTATGTGAAATTTAGCTAGCAGGAAACACAAATGAGTTAAGTTATATTTTCCTATATTCTCTTATTAGTCAAACAATGCAAAGAAAACATCTTTAAAACAGAAAGAAAAGTTACTTACAAAATGAGATCAGACGAACATTAAAAAATGTGTGGTGCATTGATGGCAAACAAGTGAATGAATCTTCTTCAGAAGAGACAAAAACAGCAACTCACTTCAACGTCAGACTTATATTATAATTACGTCCATAAGCTTTTAGTGAAATTTGGAGTAACTCATTCATCTGTTGTTTGACCTCTTCATATTTAAGGAGAGAACTATAGTTTCTAAAGTCAGACATCACTTGTTATGATTTTTCAAGGGTGTAGAGTTTAGTAGAACCTAAGAAAGACTTATTTAGTAGAGAATAATTTTGACCAAACAGTTAAATGTCTGTTGTCTGCTGTTATGTTCCCACCAATGCCAAAATCAAACCCACACCCTTGTGCAAAATATATTAACTTTGGTGTGAAACTGCTTTTTCTCTTCTCATGTCATGCTTCATATTTGATGTTTTGTTTCTTGACGGAGAACGTCCGCAGTTTGCAGCATCTCTGTCGGCTGAAGATCAGGACTTGTTTGGGCCGGTTGTGTTTGAGAGCTCCGATCTTCATGAATTTCCTTCCATTGCCAGACCGGCTGAAGCAATACATGCTTTACAAAGAATATGATCTCTATGCGTCCTCTATTGAAGCAGAGCATACACCTGTAGAAACACACAATTACAGCTCAGCGCAAGTGTAATGGACACTCCATAACAGACTTATTGTGCATATTCTTTAAATACAGTTAATATGAAATATGAACAAAGTCTTAATGTTAACGAACGTTAGCAAATATGTATTGAACCATAGGTATAGAACTCAATAATTTGTTCAAATAAATAAATATTTGTTTTAAGAAAATATAGTCATTAATGCATTTATGTAGAAAAGTGGTATTTTTTAAGGAAGCACATCTGTGTAAAAAAGCTGTTCATCTATATAGAAATAACTTTTAGGATGCTAAAGGTTTTATGCATGTTATTTAAAAAAAAATGAAAATAAATAAGAAATTATTTAACAGATTGCCTCATGAAATTGTTATTTTGATAATATTTAACCCATATTAACAACTCATAATCAACACTATTTATTTTTTTCAACGTTTCCACACTAACATTTCATGTAATTTTTATAAGAGCCACACTTTCACACTTTTTAAAATGTTATTTTAATTTAATTTAATTTAATTTAATTTAATTTAATTTAATTTAATTTAATTTTGTTTGTTTAATTTAATTTAATTTAATTGTATTGTATTGTATTGTATTGTATTCTATTTAATTTAATTTAATTTAATTTAATTTTATTTTATTTTATTTTATTTTGATGAAATAAAATTAATTGAAATACAACATTTGACAAACAACGAACAGCTATCATCAGCCTGCCATACTTCTGAAAGTTTTTTTAAATGAATTTATAAATATTATAAAGAGTATGAGTGATTCTGAAAAAATACATCCATGAATGAAATATTTCACTAATAAAATAATATTAATTGAAATTGTTATTTTAATCATATTTAACCCATATTAACATCACATACTCAACATTATTTAATTTTTCCCACACATTTCCAAACTAACATTTCATGTAATTTGTATAAGAGCCACCCTTTTTTTATTTTATTTTATTTTAATACAACATTTGACAAACAACTAACAGCTATCAGCCTGCCATACTTCTGAAAGGTTTATTAATGAATTTATAAATATTATAAAAAGTATGAGTGATTAGGAAAAATACATTCATGGATGAAATATTTCTCTAAAATAATAATATTATAAACCATCAGAGAGCCACGAATGGCTTTTATTTCTTATAAACAAGCGCGGACGTCATCATAGTAGCCACAGCGCCTCCGCCAATCAGCGGGCGGGAGGAGGCGGGACTTCCGCGTTTGTGGGCGGATCCGGGTGGGTGTTGATTTGTCAGGAATAAAGCGAAGATCAACATTATAACATTGTGACTTTTGTCTCTGAATACTAAAGTAAACAGTTCGTTGCGCTCGCGGTAAATCTGCAGTCATGCCGGGAATCGATAAATTACCGCTAGAGGAAACTCTGGAGGACAGTCCGCAGGTAAATCAGCAGCGTTTAGCCAGCAAGCTAACAGAAATAAATAAACAAACATTGATCATAATAAACATCTGCTGCTCTCGCTGCAAAGCAGACCGCGTGTCTGTTCATCCTGATGGTTTGATCTGATTTTGAGCTCTTTAGCTTTTGATGGGTGGTGGTGGTGATGATCAGTTATTAGAAAACACAGATGATTCTGAAATCATGTCACAAATATATAAGAAGACTACAGCGAGAGTCTTTACTTACATGATCAATGCTGTAATAATTAGAGATCCGATGGAAACTCCTCAGTCTTCATCAGTCAGAGTGAATGGACGTGTTCACACTTGTATTGTAAGATTCTGCATCACTTTCTGCTGTGAAAACAGTTTTAGTGTCTGAAATGTCATAACAGAGCTTCAGAAATTAAGTCTGGGGTCTTGTTTTACATGCATCCACTTTTTGTTAATGAACAACACATTTTCTAATAGTAATACCATATTGAAGTTGTGTCTAAACTAGAGCCTGACCGATATGGGTTTTTTGGGGCCGATATTAGGGGGTTTAAAAAAGGCCGATACCGATATATCGGCCGATATTTTTTGTGTATATTATAGTACAGTACCAGTCAAAAGTTTGGACACTTTCCCGTTCGTGGGTCCAAACATTTTACCGGTACTATATATAGAATACAGTATATGCATAAACAGAATACTCTAAACGGAGAACCAGATGTATTTTAAAAATCTTAAAGACATCTTCTAAACGTCTATTTGACATCTGATAGGAAACGTCCTATAGCTTCAGAAATTAAGTCTGGGGTCTTGTTTTACATGCATCCACTTTTTGTTAAAGAACAACACGTTTTCTGATAGTAATAACATATTGAAGTTGTGTCTAACGGAGAACCAGACGTATTTTAAACATCTTAAAGACATCTTCTAAATGTCTAATAGGAAATACGTCCTATAGACGTATTGCAGATGAGCAAATACTCTAAAAAATACATCTGGTTCTCATTCCTGATTGCACACGTACATCACAGAGACTATTTGACGTCTGCATTAACATCTGCAAGACGTATTTTTTAGAGCGTTTGCGCATCTGCAAAATAGACATTTAGAAGATGTCTTTAAGATGTTTAAAATACGTCTGGTTCTCCGTTTAGACACAACTTCAATATGTTATTACTATCAGAAAACGTGTTGTTCTTTAACAAAAAGGGGATGCATGTAAAACAAGACCCCAGACTTCATTTCTGAAGCTATAGGACGTTTCCTATCATATGTCAAATAGACGTTTAGAAGATGTCTGTAAGATGTTTATGATTTAGAATGTATGTAAAACTGACATCTTCGAGACGTCTATCAGATGTTTGTATACAGCAGATGCTTTCCAGATGAAGCGATCTTTAACAGACATCTATCTGGGCTATTGCTGGTGTGTTTCAGACTCGCTCTCTGCTCGGTGTGTTTGAGGAAGATACAGCAGCCACATCCAGTTATTTCAGTCAGCTCTTCAAAGCCATGCAGAGAATCTACGACGCCCAGGTGAGAACATGACGTATGATATATGCTCAATTGTCACATTATAATAGTGATTGTAACTTTAGTCTTAATGGATGAATCACACACAACCTGTCACACACCAAAACCAAAAGATAGACAGTAGAAGTCATATTTTGGATAAGGAAAATTAAAGCTATTTTAAGGACCATGTGTTTTTTTTCTGCAATATATATTCATAATATATTTTTCAAAATATATTATTATTATTGCTAACAATAATATATTATTGTTGTTGTTGTTAATAATAATTAAAATAATAATAATAATAAATATTCATTATATTACAAGATATGACAATAGTTTTATATATTATTAATATAATTAAAATAGTAATAATAATAAATATTCATTATATTACAAGATATGACAATAGTTTTATATATTATTAATATAATTATTATTATTAAAATAGTAATAATAATAAATAATTATATTGTATATTATTGATATTACTCAATTATCACTGTCAATCATATCAGTATTAATAATGATAATAATTAAAAGTAATAATAAATATTTATTATATTATACGAGATATAATAACACTTGTATATTATTATTGATATTATTACAAAATTATTATCAATGATAATATCAGTATATTAATAATAATAAGAATACATATTCATTATATTATACGAGATACAATAATATTATAAATTATTGATATTTTAAAATGTTTATATTGTCAACAACAACAATAATAAATAAATAAAAATAAACATTCATAATATTAAATTATAAAATAATATAAAATTATGAATAAATATTCCTAAGCTTCATTTTTTTCATGCATAATATTTTTTTCTCTTATGACTTTGGGGTAAAATATGATGTTTATTATTTTTGATGAGACTCATGTGCTTCTGCTTTCAGAATGAACTGAGTGCTGCCACACATCTGACGTCTAGATTACTGAAAGACTACGAGAAACAGGTGATTTCTGCCTTTCGATGCTTTTATACATAATGTCTCATCTTTCTTAAGTTCTCTGTCCGTTCCCAGTTATAGTTCAGTATCTTTCTCTGCTGTGCAGCGTTTTCCTCTGGGCGGTGATGATGAGGTCATGAGCTCCACTTTGCAGCAGTTTGCCAAAGTCATTGATGAGGTCAGAACTCGTAATGTAACGAAGGTTCTGTGGGAGTGTGTGTGTGTGATTCTGTGTGTTTTCTTTCAGCTCAGCTCGTGTCACGCCGTTCTCTCCACTCAGCTCGCAGATGCCATGATGTTCCCCATCACACAGTTTCAGGAGAGAGACCTGAGAGGTAGGAGACAGCAGTGCATTATGGGTTAGAGCGTTCTAGAATGCTTCATTCTGATTGGTCTACTACTCTGTTGGCAAATATTTGTTTTATAATGACTCTAAGCGGCTTAATTGATTGTTGTACAAAGGCGACCATTTATAGATGTGTAATCTGTGCTATTTCATGTCTCATTCTTTTCATATATTTCATGACCATTTAGTCATTTATTTGTTAAGTAGCTGTGTAATATAATGTTATTTTAGCATCACTGAGATACTATTATAGTTTTTATTAATATTTTGAATCCCCTTTTACCAGTTTCATTTTAATTTCAGTTAGTTTTAGTAATTTTTTGGGCTTTTTGTAGCATTTTTTTAAATGTCTATATAGTTTTATTAACTAAGTTTTAGTTATTTTAAAGGGGTCCTATTATGCTTTTTCACTTTTTGAATTTTAGTCAGTGTGTAGTGTGTATGTTTGGGCATAAAAAAGATCTTCAAACGTACAAATCAAAAAGATCTAGAAAGTTACAAATCTCAAAGTCCACTCCAAAGGGAGATATTTCGTTTTTAAAAAATCCCTTTTCAAGAACTACAACGAACGGCTCGTTTGGACTACAGCCTTTGTTTTCCGGGTTTTGTGATATCACAAAGCGGCCCATTAGAATATTAAAATAAATTCCCACCTACGGAAATTCGAATGGTTGGGTATGGCGTTATTTTCATGACAAATGTCGAGAGCGCATTATTGTAGCACGAAAGCACATTAATATAATGCGCGAGCGTGAATCTCTCCGCTCGTGCACGGATTTCTTTTGCTCTCGCACAAAACCGGATGTGTTTTCGCACCTGAATTAAACGTTGTCAAAAGTTATCATTATGCACTTTAAAAAAGTAGTCTCAAAGCAGATTTGTGCAGGGTCTTTCCTCGATTTTTTATTGTTGTATTTTTGTTTTAACATAAACTGGTTATTGTAGCTACTTTGTTTTACTATATCTCTGTTATCCTTGTATTTTGATCTTTTCTGTAAATGCACATATGCATCTCTTTGTAAAGTAGGCTACTTTGTATACACTGTTTTAAAAGGCGCTATATAAATAAAGCTTAAACCAATCAGACCTCCACAACTGACCGATGAAAATACTACGTGAAATCTAATTGGCTGAGTGAACTGAACCTGGAATTCTTTTGACAATCAAAGATGGATCTTTAATTTCTTTCCAGTTTAATAATAATTAGCAATGTTAATGAAATGTAGCCTATAGAAATGGCTAGGAATTGGGTGCTTGGATGATTT